CGATCGACGAGGAACGGCACCCAGAATCATCAAGCCCAGTTTTAAGATCAACCCAAAGGTAACGGATCCGAGTCTATAAGATTAACTCGAGTTAGTAACGTATAAGCAAGTTTTTGGTTTTAGTGACCAAATTACAGTCTTTTAGTGACGAAATTGACGCTGTCGCAAAAGATTGCTGGGCTATTGTCCAGATCAGTCCCCCATGAATTCGGTACATACAGCTTAGTCCCTCAGAGTTTTAAGTTTTGATAATTTGGCCCGAAAATCGTATTTTGTTTCATGGTTATGTTTATTTCCGACACTTTCCAGTGGGTATTTTCATAATATGATAAATTTATAAATTTGAGAATATTTGTATGATGCTCGTGTATAAATTTTAAAATTTTTGGATCTGTATTTGTATTTATAAAAATTAAACGAATATTTGTTTTAATTAATTAAAATACTGTACAAAGTCGTTTTGGTGATTTGATAATTTTCTATGAAACTATGATTGTTTACTGATGTTATAAAATTATGGATGGGAATTATTAGTTTTCATGTCTTGGTTTAAAAATTATGTATAATTCATTTTAATAGAAAAAAGAGGTTATTTAAAAGGGCGCTTATGTTTATTAATTGAGATTAATGATTTGAGTTAACCAAGGGCATAATTTTGGATTCTTAAGTGGAAAATATATTTTGAGAAATTTATGAGAACTATTTTAATAGTTATTGAATTGTTGAGATGATTTAATTTTTGATTAAAGAGGTTGAAAAGTTTAGTTTTGAAGAAATGATTTAAAAGAGATTGAGGGCCATTTTTAAAGGATTTTGGGACTAAGTAATCAATGAGGGAAATTTTCCCCAATACGCCAAAGTGACTAAAATATATTGATTACCGACTAAGGGAAGATAATTTCGGTTTATAGGATTAAGGGAGCAATCAGATTAAAGATTTCACGTCAAGGGAACTAAGAATCGTCATTTGAGAGGTGAGTGGTTTAAGGGGGTAAATTCTACGCCTTACGTATTTTCAAGTATTTGACTTACGAGTTTTAAGTATGTGTGTTCATGTATGTCAGTGATTGATTTATGTCGTGATTGATAAAGCATGTTTTATTTTATATATTATCTGAGATGCTCTATTTGAGTTATGATTGTGAAGTATATGATTATTTTAGCTTTCGGTATTTAGTTGAAGCTTTTATATTATGTTTATTTAATGAAGGTCGGTTGATCTTTAAGGATAAACATTTAAGAGGTATTTCACTCCTAATTAAATTAGGGTGAAAAGATTTAAAGGTAGTTCACTAACGCCAGTCCCCCGCCCCATTGAAAGTTTAAAGGAAGAGCGAGTTTGCTCTTAAGGAACATGTGGATGAATCACTTAGACATCACATGAAGTTTAAAGGAAGAGTATGATATACTCTTAAGGTTTATGGGGTTGAATCGATTACTCCCATAAACAGGTTTAAGGAAAGGCCTATGTTGGCCCTCATACGTATGAGCTGGGCGGCTGGACTAGTTAGTGAGGGGATCCCAGTGTCGGTCAAATGTTTAATATTTTTGAGAGTGACGAGTAACAATAACTCCCACGTTTAAGAGTTAAAGTTTAAAGGGTGGAAGTATAAATAACTTCCACGGGTTTTTGAAGTGAACACTTAAGGGAATACCCGTAAGTGCTTCAAGTTTAAGTAATGGCGTAGACTGACCCCAACCCACTCACCAGGTCGTAGAGGAGGAGCTAGGGAGCATCCAGTCGAGGAGCGTCCAGTGAGATAGCAGGCTACCTGAGGAGGACCACGTGAGCACTTCTGAAGATGTCTGACCACGGATCGGAGTAAGCAACATTTGTAATCTTTAGTTATTTGCTTTATGATTATGAGTAATGACTGGAGATTTAAAAGGATAAGACTTTATGGATTGAGGTTTGCCCAAATGTTAGGGCTTTGCTTTTAAATTATAAGGTGTATTTTTAGTATTGGTATTTCGAGCACATTATTGTTTCTTTCTTTCAAAATTTTAAATATGCTCCGGAGCAAAAAATTGTTATTTAAGTGTTTTAGAAATCAGGATGTGACAGGAGTCATGTTCTAGATAAGAGAAGGTAGAGGCTTCTATCCCTATAAATATGTACTTGCTCTTTGGTTTAATAATATGAGAATATTGAAACCCAATTGAGTTTATTGCTTTGTTATTTCTTAGGAGTAGTTGTAAGGTAATTTGGGGTTGATATCGTCATCAAGAGGTCCTCTACTCAAGAGTTTTTGAGAAACGTTTCCAAAGGTTCGCGTGCGTGGGTTTTCCGAGAAATCTACGTAACAAGGGGATGGGAACAAATGGTGGGAGGGTGCAGATTTTTGCAACACTCCATTCTCTAGAAACCTCTCTTTCTCCCTCTCCCTCCAACCACACTCCCACAAAAGGCACCAACATAAGTTGTTTTCAATTTGATCCTCCAACTTCCAATTTCTCCAATTAAGTCCTTCTTCCATGAGGACTTCCATACCAATCCACATATTTAATTTCACTAATCACTAAAATTAATTTAACAACCCTTTATACCAAATGTAGTCAAAAGCGTGTTTTTATGTTGAAGCATTTAGGTGATCTAGAAGCGTAAGATCGTAAGGTTGTAAGCAATAAAGAGCATTTTCTACTATATTAGTTATAAGAACTTTGATTCTGCGTAGAAGCATTTTGATGGGTTAGAAGCGTAAAAGCATAAGTTTTTAAGTTTTAAAGCGTGATTTTGACTACATTGTTTATACCACCATACCTCCTCACTCTTTTCGGTTAAGGGACAATTTCGTGATTCAGGTTCTAATAAGGCCCCATGTGGGCAACATGACGGTCGGATTCATTGTCTAGCACCAGTTCCCAGTGTGATTTTGACTACATTGTCTTCCCTATCAAGGCCCCATGTGGGCAACATAACGGTAGGATTCATTGTCGAGCACCAGTTCCCAGCCTGAAATCCATTTCTAAATGACAGACGGGTTGCCAACAGGCCTGGTGCAAACGAGAGCCAAAGGCTCATGACTCGCTTAAAGGCGCACTATCTCCTCTCCATACGAGTATGTAAGGAGGAGAGGTGTTTCCGGGATGGAAGGTAGTAAAAGATGATCGGGACACGGTAAAGCTATCTAAACCCCAAACACATCCTTAAGTGACACTCCAGACCGAGAGAAGAACCCTTCGACAACTCAACTAAAACACTATGCATGGTTGCCTCACGTGAGAACCTCAATTTTCAAACGATTTTTTCAAAGTTGAGCACATTTTTCAAATGTTTTTTAGTCCAAAATAGATAGAAAGTCCCACACACATGTTTTTGCCTAAGTAGCAAACATTATCAACTCACCAAAGAAGAAGATAGGAGTAAAACCCCTCATATACAAAAAAAAACTTATAAATGCAAACTACTCCCTATAAACACACCATATAAACTATTTAGTAGTTCAAAGCACATTTAGGAGGTAGATGCTAGGGACAAGATGTTTGGAACCCTCATATTTGAAAACTTTTGGGTCTATAATCAAGGTTCCAAACACAAATTCAAAGTCATTCAACACCACAAAACACTACTAATTAATAGCAAACACTTCCGCACACAATCATCAATGTCTAACATTCATAATCATATGGAGGCTACTAACGATCATGGCATTCATCATGAACTTTTGAAGCATGCAATGCATTTGCACCACATTTAAGAGACACATTGTTCTCAATGTGGGAGCTAAGGTAGGGTTCAAGAATCGATTACATAGGGTTTTTTGGTTGAGGAGGGTGCACAAGTGTAGGTCTTCATTGATCTAGAGATTTTTCATTCAAGCACACACATAAGAGAGGAAGAAAGGGTCATCCATACACAAAATATATATACTAATCTACCACAAACATAATGATTTATTACACATACTAAGTATTTAAGTCAAGTAATAATTAAAGTTGAATAAAATAAAAAGATAGAAATCGTTCCTCAATGCCAAGTTGCCTTTGATGTATGGTTGGAACATATGGTAGTTACACTTCAGAAGCTATTTCTTGTGAGGATGGTCATCATGATTCGTAGATGCTTGCATTGGTTGCTTATTCTTGTTTGTGGTTGCTCCTCAGTTCGAGGTTATAGTTCTTCTTTTGGGACTTGTGATTCTTCTCATCAATGGAGGTTCCAGTTTCTTTGTCGATGATGGCTAAGAGGAGTAAACCTTTACCTCGGTTGGATCACCAACAACATATGAAATCAGAAAATATGTCCAAACAAACCATTAGGCAACTCACTTGATAAGTTGAAACAACTCAATCCAGCCTTAGGTTCACTCTATACACCGACACACTTAAGTGTTACGATGTAGAACTAGAGGTGCATAGGTAAAAATGGATGTTGAAATGACTAAGGTCGAAATCTAAATGCATGAAAACAGGGGTATCATGTCTTTCTAGAGGCTTCTATACCTCGGTCGAAGGATAGAATCAACTCATTAGACAACAACCAAGGTTTGAACTAATGGCTCTAAAAGCATATAGAATCACAAAATTGAAAGTGAGCCAAAGTTGCAAACTCAAGGATCATACATCAAGGATTCAATCTCAAATCATAAACACACTCTCAAGGGTCTATCTAATAGGACAAGTTCAATTGAAAAGCAATGGACCAAGAAAAACAAGAATTATGTGATTTGGGCATTTCATCGAGCACTTGGTGGGCAGCATTCAAACTCCACAAATTCATACAAATAAAGCCCTCCAAACACACACACATTCATAAGCATACATTTTATGATCCAATTGCACTAGCCACGCCATTCCCTAACCTTAAGTAGCTTAGTTGGTAGGCTAGAACAACATGCTTAACAACAACACAATGTTCGCAACCATTCTTTAAGCAACTAGATAGTATCCAAAAAATCATTCATGTATTTATTGACATAGAAGGGAATCATTCACTAGATAAAAATATAAATAATATTGAAAGCAAAATCAAATGTGCCGGTATTATTGAAAAGGGTAAAGTAAATGCAAACTGATTATTGGGGTACCTCCCAACTAGTGTGTCTTTCATGTCTTGTAGTCAGATGATTGCCTTCAAGTATTTTGTCCCACTTAAGACCTCCTTGAAGTTGAGATTCTCGTCAATGAGGTGGTGTCTTAAGTCCTGACCTTTGGATGTTTCAAATGATGTGGATAACTTGTGGACTTTGTGAAAATTTGGTCTCCACCCACGATACCTATTCTTCTTTCCTTCTTCATTCTTCTCTTTGCCCCAAACCATGTAATGGAACCTTGATTGACCACCATTGAATCCACCAAAAGGGATTGACGATGGTTGTGGTGTTGGCTTGGCAAAGAGAAATCGCCAAAGGGTCATTCTTTAAAAGTGCATCAAGGTTGGATGGAAAGCATTGGTTGAATATCGAACAAGGGGTCATTCTCTACCCCTTGCTCTTTTGTTTCACTAATGGTGTTAAGGAGGCGGTCTTGATTGAACCTCCAACAAAGATGTTCAAGTTCTCTCTTCTTTTCCAACACCTCTCGAGCAGCTTTTCTTGTTCAATGAGAAATTCTTGAGTAGAAGGGTTGGGATCAGCTATATTGGGAGGTTTCCCTTAGGTCTCCATATCTTTGAGCAACCTTTCCTCTCGGTTAAGGTCTTAATGTGGAAGCACCCCAGAGCAATGTCGATATTGCTTACATCTATGCACTCCATTGGGATGTTGAAGCGCTCAGATGCTAGCTCTATCACAATCTTTTGCTTCGGTAAAGGTGGAGGATGAAGTGCCCTCTCATTTCTAGCCATGAATCTTTCAAATTCGAGCTCTAAGAGGCTCTTTGGTTCCAGGATTGGAGTAGGGTGAGTTGTTTCGATGCCCTCCACTTTCTTCATACTCTCTTCAAATCACTCTATTGCCATCTCCAAGTCGGTCTTCACCCTAGGTTGTAGAGGTGGTGCTTGAAACCAGGATCATTGCCCTTCATTTATACTTGAAGTACCTGGGTAACAACATTCGGTGGATGGTTGATACACTTGGTTGAAATAATGGGGATCTATGTATCAATTGAAACACCCTAACCCGGCCGGGAACTACTTTTACTAAAACGCCCTTGATATATAAAATACTCAAATCTTAAATATCAACTGGTAAAAATTTTAATAAATAAAATACTGAAAACACACACTTGAAGTTCAAAGCAAAGCCCTAACACATGGGCAAATTAAGCTCAAACTTTAAAATCTCAACCTGATCTCCAGTCTATAGTCATAATCATAAATGTAAATAACTAATAGTCTCTAATGTTGTTGCTACTGAAACCTTTACTAAGCATCCTATGTGACGCTTGCACTGCCCTCCTCTAGCTGGTCGCTCTCGAACTTTTCCTCTCGAACTCGCTGCTCTCTAACTGCTCCTCTAGCTAACTGCTACCGATCTGGTTCTCGCTCATTCCCTTACTAAGGCCTGGTGAGTGAGTTGGGGTCAGTCTACGCCCTTACGTTTTAAACTTTCTAATATTTGAGTGCTTTGCTTAAACACTTAACTTTACCTAATGGAAGTTGTTTTGTACTTCCATTCTTAGAACCGTATGGGAGTAACTGTTACTCTCCATTCTTAAAGCTTAAATCTCAACTTAAATACTTGACTAACACTGGGATCCCCCACTAGCTAGTCCGGTTGCCAACTCATACGTATGAGAAGCCATTCAGGCTTTCCTTAAACTTAAACTTAGTTAGAGAAGTCGTAACGATTCATCCCCCTAACATCTTAAACTTATGTGGTGGCTTTTCGCCACGATTCTCAAGAGCATAACTGCTGCTCATCTTAAAAGTCTCAAGAGCATAACTGTTGCTCTGTCTCAAGATCTCCAGAGCGTAACTGCTGCTCTATCTGAAAATCTTAAATGGCAACGGACTGGCGCTAGTGACTAAAAACACTTAAAACGACTTCACCTTCTTGAAGGTGAGTTACTTCTTAAAATGACCTTGTTTCTTAAACTTTAACAATAACTTATACTCATAAAATTTTCAAGGTAAAAAAAATAACCATTCACTTCAAGTCATAAGTCAAACAAGGCACATATCATCAACCATAATGATAAGCAAGCACACAATTTCACATAAAACAACTTCTTAAACACGCAAGGTAGATACTTAAAAATAATACATAAGGCGTAGAATTTACCCTCTTTACACTCACCTCAAGTCAGTCGATGCGATTTGGCCACCAGCTTGGATCGATATTTGCTATCTCGAATAGCACCCATACATTGGCTTCTGTAATTCCCTAAAAGGGAACCCCACAATTAGAACACTTTACCAAAAGTATTTTTTCCTCTAATCCAAGTTAACCCACGAATGCTAATTGCTAGCATGAAATCCTGCCACCACCACCATGTTCCATTATGTGTCTCATATCCCATACACAAGTCCTAGGCTCATAGCCACGTTCAATCTCTATATATGCATTCCACTGATCCCTTTTTCCTAAACAATATAATGGAGACAAAGGGAATAATAACTATCCTACATTATATTAGCACTGCGCGCATGCAAGAAATCGGAGACAAAGGGAGGACTCCTACCTCGCAATCCTCAGCTCCGTCCGGTAAGATGCGGCCGTGATCCCTTTCTTGAGTTGGCAGGGCTCTCTATCTCTCTCTTTCTTGAGTATGGTTCAGACTCGACAGCTGCTGCTGGTGGCTGATTGCGGCAGAGTCGATGCGGGTCGGAGGGCGGACGAAGGAAAAGAAAGGATGGGGTCTCGGTTGTTTCCCTGGCCGCTGCTGCTAGAATTGGTTTAGGGTTAATACCAATAATAATAATAATAGTTATTATTATTATTCCTAATTCGCGGTTGTAACTCTTGGTACGTAACCGTCGATCCAAACGTTCGGTCGAACCTTAATCGAATCCTAACCTGAAAATGGGGTGTTACATTTCCTACCCCTTAAAAACAATTTTGTCACTGAAATTGGAACTGTTTACTTGACCTTTGACCTAAAATACCTTGCAATTGATAGCGGTTGTCTCGACTGGGATATAACATTTCCCTCCTCCTTAAGAAAAATTTCGACCTCGAAATTTGTGCACCTCGACAACTTAAGGTCTCACTTGAGGAAATCCTTCTACTACTGAGATGTATACTTCCTTTACCTTGTACGACCTTGAGCTATGAACCCTTTCCTCCAATTCGTGTGGTTCTTCGCCAACTAATTACTCACCCATTTTTCATAAATCTCTTGCTCAAGCTAGTTACTTGCTCAACCTGGCTACCCTTACTATGACGTACCCCTCATCCTGAGTTTGGACTGCCTTGAAACGTATTCTATCTCGTGACTCGTCTAGACTGGAATAATGGTGTCCGCGAAAATCTTCATCCTCTGACTCGATCTTGCCTTGACTAGGCAGAACACCTCACCACTCGGCAGGGGTCCCTCGAATCCTCTATCTTGTAATTACTGAGGGTCTATCTTGTAATTACGTACGGTGTTGACTCTTACCTTATTGTTTATCCCGATGGTTGCTTCCTTCCTCTGAGGATCTTTCCGTCGATCTAGTTTCCCAGGTTCACGATTCCTCCTCTTACGATTCCATTAAGCAACATCGTTTAATAATTCACCAGTATTTGACTTATAATGTTATCCTTTTCACGATTGTTGATGCACCTCTTTGGACTCCATGACGTAAACCTCCATGATGAGTGTTCAACTCGCTCGGTAATACCCTATTGTCTGATGCTTCTTACCCCCTTCACATCGGTCATATACTTCGAACGTTTTTAGGGAATCCGCTATCTCCACTATTTGGTACATAAGTAGGTAATGCCACTTCAACCCCTAGAGTTACTGGTGGTGGCGTAACCTCCTTCTTGTTTGAGCGTTAAACCCTTTCAACATAACCGCGTCCGGGGTTGATCTCATAGATGACCTAGGTCCTTGTATCTCCTAAAATTGCATCTCTCACTTTCTTCCTTAATGCCTCGTCTTATCCATTAACCATAAACTGAATGGTCACCTTCTTGTTACTTGCTGCTTAGTGCTGGAACCTCATACTACTGCTTCTACTTTCTATATGCATTAGAGGCATCCTTTGTATCTTTCTCTAGCTTGCGATCAACTTTATGACTTCTTTCCAGAATCATCACCTTCCATTTTGAGTACTTTTTTCACTCATGGCGCCTAACTTAACACTTCCTTATCACCGTTTGACTTGGGAGTTCTCGTACGATCTCTTCTATTGTTCTTTGACCTTGCCTGAAATTCCTCGTACAGTTTCCCCGTTCAAGAAATTTTCACTCGAGAGATCGCCACATTTCACCCTCATAGGTGGTATTGCTTTCACTTTAGGGTATCCTAGCAGGTTCGCTACACTCATATCCATCTTACAACTTTACTCGTGACTCCTCTTATCGATGTTTCTCGCTAGTTCCATATGTCCCTCATCCTCGATGTAGTCATCTTGGTGCCCATATTCTCTTCTCACTTATGTACCTTGACCGATAAGGTTTTCCCTTTGACCGTTCTGGACCACCACACTTCTACTTTAAAGTTGACCATTGAGCTTCTCAGTTCTTGATGGGCTTCCTATGGTCCAACTGATTTTCCACTGCCAATCACCTTAACGCCTCCTTGTTGACCTTCGTATTCTTTCGCCGGCTCCTCCTAGCTATCTTTCTCCCTGAATTTGTCGTTTTATCAACTACCACCCTTTTCACCATAACTTCCATTATAGCCTTGTGGTTTCCTCCTTACTTCCACAACTCCTTCATCGATGCTTGGTACTAGCTTCGATCTACTCAGTTTAGTAGCTCCTCGCCATACCTCAGAGCCAACATTTCCACAAGAAACTTTCTCTAGGTAGACTTGACAGATGACACCCACGAATTCTACTCACGATGGTGCTTGACTCCCTCCCAACTATCTTCCTTCACGCATCCATTGTCCAGTCGACAACCACCTTTTTTTATTTTTAATTCCTATAGTGTCCTATGGTGTTCTACTTGCTTCTTTACTTTTACTACCCTTCTTTTGATGCTTTGTACTATTTTCGGTCACCAAACTCTGTTGAGTATCTTCTCGTTGTTGTTTTGGGTCAAAGCTTCCAATAGTGGCTTGCCCTTGGTAGGCTTGAACATACCTCATCCACGTCTTTTGTCTCGACCGACGCTTGTACATAGCCTTAATATCTTAGTCATGGCTCTTAGTGGCTTAACTAAATATCACTAATTTATCCTTAACTTGCCTTCTTTTATGGATGACATCCTACTATGTCGTACTCGCTCAGAGTGGGGCACCTTGGGTAAGGTAACTTAATGATTTCCTCCTTCTTGGTAATGTTTTTCCTCGTCGTACTCCACTATGCATTTTCTTGAACTCGAGTCGCCTACACATATTCTCAATCCTTCATCGGAACTTCCATGTGCTTCCTCGAATTCTCTGCCACACACTAGAACATTTATTGAACCTTCCACTTACTCGTCTATACTCGGTTGGCTTAGTGACTTACTCCTATAGCTAGTTTCGAGACTTCAACTCTTAGCCCTCTAATTCAAACTTAGTAGAGACGTTCCTCCTTCTGTCACCCCTCATGTACCCTAGGCGGCTAGGTGCTCCCTCGATTTAGGAAAGGACAATCCCATAACAGATCATCGTGAACTCTTGCATTCCCCTTTCAACGGTCCCAACATCCTCCTGACCTTTTGTGATCTGGGTAGTTTGTAGGGTCTAGGATATCCTCTTTCTAGCTCGGTGTTATCTTGGTATCCAACTCACGCACTACTGAGAAGTGGTTCTCTATTCGTACTGCCATTTCCTAGCTAATTGTTATTCTCTATCACATTCCATGTCTTTTCTTATGTATTGACTCCCCACTGTCTTCTACTAGGCATGATTTAGACTTTGGTGGCACTTTCTTCCACGTCTCGTCCGATGGTGGTCGTACTGAGACCATAACTTGTC